AAGCACCCAAGGTGTTTCATAATACTTCGGAATTTTCAAACAGACGAACCATAGGGCTTACATATCCAACCGCTAGTCAACGATTTTGAGAGACACTTGTGCATATACTGTGTCTGAAATCTACGCGAAAGCCTTGTTCAAGAGATAAAAGGAACTTTCACTACAAAATCCTTGCTCTGAAACGCACTGATTTCAGTTAGTAAGATTCCTATCGACTTTAAAAATAGTGGCCAACAGTGAAAATAGTACAGTCCTTTCCATTTTGTATCCTCATACTAAGTTTTTATTCGTTTATTTTATAATCCTCAGAGCCATCCTACCATTTTGTGTATCAGATGAGTCCAATTCTAGATTTGATGTGAATTACTCATTACATGACATACCGGATTCAATTTAATGTAATGAGGAGGAGCAATAGGCAACTAATTGGTCCCAGTAACCGAACATTTTAACAGTAAAACCTGGGGTGCCTGTAGTCGCAAAACTAATGTATAAATTTCAGTTCTCTACAACTCTGCTCCTCATAATATACTTGGTGAGAATTTCTAAATTGAAAAGTCTTATTGCGGTGATATGGGCAATTAATATCTTTATCAGATTACAGCGAATTCCTTGCTTCAACACCACTTGCTGGGTTTTCATGAGTAATGGGTCCTTAACAGGGGCTTCCATTCTTGGATCATTGAGCGAAATTGAGGCTAACCGTAAGTCGTTAGGTAAATTAGTCTTTGATGAGGTTAAAATCTATCGGTTATGCGGGCTTAACGGATTGTTATTTATTTTTCAGCTTATGTCTTTTTAATGGATGGCTATCAAAATTTCTGAAGTATGCAAACTTAATTCATTATCAATTAAAGTTGGTTACTTCGCCTGTAGCTCTTCTAGAGTTACTGCCGGTCCCAAGCCCGGGTAAAGGAGGAGGGTTGGGCATGCGGTTAGCGACCCCATCCTGTAGAAAACTAACTCGTTAAAAAAACGCTAACCAGAAAAAATAAACCATTTAAACTCTGCCCTGGGAGTTAGAAGATCTTCATTTAGAAGAATTATGACGCTTCATGGTGAAAGCTGAGTTCCTTCGGAAGTCACGAGGCCGATGCCCCTTCTAACAACCAGAGCAACCATTTTTATAGGTACATGGAACGTCTGAACAATGTGGGAGACCGGGAAGACCAGTCAAATAGCAACGGAAATGAGGAGATACAACTTGACAGTACTGGGAATCAGCGAAACCCACTGGACCCAAGCTGGACAACAAAGGCTAAATACGGGAGAGATGCTGCTATAATCCGGTCACGAAGAGGAAAATGATCCACACACTCAGAGAGTTGCTCTAATGTCCAAAGTAGCACGAAATGCACCTGTAAGATTGAAATCTCACGGATCCAGAATCACCAAAGCATCAATCAAAACAAAGGAGGCGGCACAATATTTCCACACGAACTTATACACAAAGCTGCATTGATCTCACCGGACCACACCACAGAGAACCAGATAGATCATATCTGCATCAATAAAAAATTCCGAAGGACAACGGAAGACGTGAGAACTAGGAGAGGAACTAACATAGCTTCAGACCACCACCTAGTTTTGGCCAATTTAAAACCGAAGCTAAAGAAGGCCTGGACAAACAGCACTACAAAGGTTCACTACAACCTTCCTTCGAGATGCTAACAAATTCAACGAATTTAAGATAGCTCTCAACAACAGGCTCCAAGCCTTACAGGATCTACTGAATGAAGAAGAAACTACTATGGAGGAAAACTGGAAAGGTATCAAGGAAGCATTAACTTCGTGTCAAGAGGTTCTGGGCCTCAAGAAGCATCATCACAAGGAATGGATCTCTATAGAAACACTGGACAGGATCAAAGGAAGGAAGAACAAGAAGACAGCAATTAACAACAGCCGAACACGAGCAGAGAAAGTCCAAGCACAAACTGAGAACATAGAAGCAAACAAGCAAGTGAAGAAGATCATTAAAGCCGACAAGCAGAAATACGTGGAAGAACTAGCAACGACGGGGGAAAAAGCTGCAAGAGGAAACATGAGACAGCCTTACGATACAACGAAGAAACTAGCAGGGAAATATAGTAAACCAGAGAGACCAGTCAAAGACAAAGAAGGCAAGCCAATCACTGAAATTCAACAACAGCGGAACAGATGGGTAAAGTACTTCGAGGAAATCCTGAATAGGCCGGCTTCAATGAACAATAGATCTCCCTATAGATGTCAATCCACCAACGACGGAAGAAACCAGAATGGCCATCAGACAAATCAAGAACGGGAAAGCGGGCAGGACCCGACAATATACCAGCTGAAGCACTGAAGTCAGACATCGAAGTAACTACAAACATGCTTTACATTCTATTCAAGAAGATTTGGGAGGAGGAACAAGTGCCGATGGACTGGAAAGAGGGACATGTCATCAAGATTCCAAAGAAAGATCTGAGCAAATGTGAAAACTACAGAGGCATCACACTACTGTCAATACCAGGGAAAGTCTTTGACAGAGTGTTGCAGAACCGGATGAAAGATGGTTGGATTCCGTAAGGATCGGTCGTGCACGGACCAAATTGCGACACTACGGATCATCGTCAAATAATCAGTTGAGTGGAACTCGCCACTATACTTCAAGTTCATTGATTATGAAAAGGCGTTTGACGTTGTAGATAGGAGGACATTATGGAAAATTCCTCGATACTATGGAGTTCCTGAGAAGATTGTCAACATTATCCGGAACTCATACGACGGACTACAGTGCAAAGTCGTGCATGGAGGACAGCTGGCAGATGCATTCCAAGCAAGGACCGGAGTCAGATAAGGATGTCTACTCTCTCCCTTCCTCTTTCTTCTGGTGGTCGATTGGATTATGAAAACCTCGACATCTGAGAGAAAACACGGCATACAATGGACAGCTCAGAACCAATTAGACGATTTGGAATTCGCAGATGACCCAGCCCTCCTATGGCATACACATGAACAAATACAGATAAAGACAGCCAGTGTAGCAGCAATCTCTGCATCAGTAAGCCTCAGCATACACACGGAGAAAACCAAGGTTCTCAAATTAAAAACGAAGAACAGCAATCTAATCACTCTTGATGGCGAAGCTCTGGAAGATGTAGAATCCTTCACATACCTAGGAAGCATCATCGATGAACAAGGAGGCTCAGATGCAGACGTAAAGGCAAGGATTGGCAAAGCAAGGGTCACATTCCTACAATTGAAGAACATATGGAACTCAAAACAACTTCCAACCAATATCAGAGTGACAATCTTCAATATGAACGTCAAGGCAGTCCTACTGCATGGAGCTGAAACTTGAAGAACTACAACAACCATCGTCAAGAAGGTACAAGTATTTATAAACAGTTGTCTACGCAAGATACTCAACATCCATTGGCCGGATACCATCAACAACAGCCTTCTCTGGGAGAGTACAAATCAGCTTGCAGCTGAAGAGGAAATTAGGAACAGACGATGGAAATGAATAGGACATACATTATGGAAATCATCAAACTGCATCACGAAGCAAGCCTTAACTTGTAATCCTGAAGGGAAGCGAAAAAGAGGAAGGCCAAAGAGCACATTACGTCGGGAAATAGAAGCAGATATGAAAAGGAATAATAACAGCTGGGAAGAGCTGGAAAGGATTGTCCAGAACATGGTTGGATGGAGAGTGCTGGTGGGTGGCCTATGCTCCTCCAGGAGGAGTAACAGGTCTAAGTAAGCAAAGCCTAAATGTTATCAGGATAAAAACATCCAGTTAGTGAGGATTACGGATCCTAAAAATGACTAAGCATTTACTTGTGTGTTAATATAGAAATATAACCCTTAATTAATGAAACGAATAAAAGTGAATTATATGAAGATGTTAACGTAGTCTATCGCATTTCAGTTGACTTGCACGACCACCTTCAGGCAGTCACGACGTAGAGCCTGTACGTGTGTACACCGGTTCAAGTTGCAGCCACCTTATACCAATGTCAAAGCAATTGTCCTGAGTGTGGAGCATTTCCGGTGTGCTATACTACGATCGCATCATACATGAGCGAAATCAACTATGGTTACTTCAAAATCCAGATGTCCCTTACTTAAACTCAATGTCTTAAATTCCAGGTTACTTGTATCTAATGGGCACGTTCTACTTGCACAAGTCTCCAATGACATTTTACATTTCATTGAACATATTAATGGTAGACTGTATTGTAATCCACAAAGACGTTAGTGCACCTATTAAAGTCATCCTGCTTCTACTATCCAGCGGCAACTTATACAATCACATATGTTTAAGACTTACTATAGAGTTTAAGATCACATTCAAGTTCGATCAGATGTACAGTGTAAAAATGGCAGTCATTATGGCTTGATGCTAAGTTTGTAGACTTCCCGACTGATGCCTATGCTTATTCCTATTAAAAGGAGAATAATTTGAAAGATACGGGGTTGTGACTTCCCTATACTGTGATCCATTTTACTAAGACGAAATAAATACGATCCGTGTACAATAAAAAAGCTAAAACCTCGAATGAGGCAAAGTACTAAATGGACCATCTACTTTGACCAGTTACAGACAGTCTTAAATTTCATATGGACCAGGAAAGATTGTCTGTTTGCCTCTGCAATGCGACTGTAATGGATTTAAAAACTTAGTTTTTAGGTTCGAACAGGAATCTTACACAAGAAATATACTGGATGAAATAGCATTAGTATTCTTGTACAAAGTCACACTATTAGGACTGATAATGGGAACAAAGGCTTCAGAATATTAGGATTTCGAATACTCTACGGAATACACAATAAGCTTGATGAACACTGACGTCTCACGCACTGATGAAAAATCTAATACATTAAGGCGTAGTTTAAGAACTATTTACGGCATATGAGAAAATCACCACGAATACCCGGACCATATACACCATGCTTGAAAACGATCCCAGTTTTAAGTTTATGTATATCTATTATTATAATACAATCCATCATAGTAGGGGTCATAACCATCGTTGATCTCAAAAGAAATCAAATTTATTAGTTACTTATAAAGAAGTAAAATAACAGAGGAATTGAAAGATATAAGTGGAAAATCAGTCTGTTTTTTTGTTGCTTTTAGTTTCTTCATGATACCAGTCAATTGGATTTCTATGGTAACATGGCCACGGTGGTAGTACAGCAAGAGCCGTGAGTATACAGCCGAATAATAGTATTAAAACGCTATCAGACAACTGTTGTTTGTAATATCCAACTGGAAGCGCTATGACCTACAAAAAATTACGTATAAAGATGAAATTAGAAAAACTGACCAGAAATGTAATAATCATTAGGTTCATACATCTCTCAGCGTTTTTCTGACCCACAAAATCCTTTGAAAATATTTATAGGGAATTCAACACTACCATATACAGATTGTGTTTTTCAGCCCATACCCTTACGCCCTGCATAGATATCATGACGTCGAATTGTAACGCAGTATTTCAATTTGTGACAAAGTAGAGAAAAAAATTCGTTAAGCAAATGTTTCTGTCTTCAGTAATAAGGATAGGAAGTCCATCGACCTATATTATTCCTTACAGTTTGTAGCACTGTGGAGGTCAAATCTCGTTTTGAATATATCAGCAGAAGGTGTGGATATTACGTGTTTCAGTAGAAAATTCCAGAAATTCACTACTCGGTGAGAGAAACGAAACTCCAGACGAAGACGATTTGATCTCCGTTCTCGAACTTTCTTGGAATGTCCTCTCAAATTATCAGGCCTTACTTAGATCTATGAAGCTCACATCTACAGGAATATTCCGGTCTTTTGCAGCAGCCCAATCTTCTCTTTTAATGAGATTTGTCGAGCATGATAGGCCTCTCCGAAGATCATGTTGTTCCCTGGATAGAAGATGATGCCCTTCCACATAGTTTATGACAGCTATCCGAATAACTTTCTCCATCAGTTTCACAACTGCAGTAGTAAAGCTAACGGGGCGATAGTTACTAACTATCGCTTCTTTCCGGTCTCTGGACAGGACAAAAGAAGCATTCACTTAACGGGTTCAGTGACTTTCAGCAGTGCATCACCGATATCGTTAAGTAGAAACCAACGTATGTTTAACGGGAAAAATAATAATTTAGTAGTTGGGTTCATAAGTCAATGGAAGCTAGACGACCATGAAAAACCTGGAATCACTGGGTGGCCGTTCCGTCGTTTCGATTGTCCTCTAGACCACTGAGCTGCTATCCAACATCGTTAATGTTATGCCCTCATGCACGAGACCGAAGGTCCTGGGTTCTAATCCTGCGAGCGGGATCGTGGATGTGCACTGCTGAGGAGTCCCATTGTAAGGCAAAACGGCCAGCCAGTGATTCCAGGTTCTCCATGGTGATCTGGCTTTAGTCGACTCGCGAACTGAACTATGAAATTATCACAGTCTTCACAGAAGGCCCTTCTGAGAAAAATATCAGTCAATAATAGTGAAATACTGTTTTTAGTACTTAAGAATATGTCAAGTTTCCTTTTAGGAGGACTCCTAGTAAGTCAATATGGTGAAAACTCCCATTCCGCCGTTTGGTTAATAAAGAAGGAACGAATTGAGCGAAAAAAATTTCTTTTCAATTAGTTTTTTATCATGGCTCCATAGAAATCAACTTGCATCCAAAGTTGTATTGGAATCTTTACGTCGCTCTCGAGTTGGACCAAATGGAAGGACTCTCAAACGCTCCTAGGAAGTCGCTTGGACTAGCTCAACCGGTGGCTAATTTCAGAAGTTGACTTCCATTATTGACTCTGTGCATTGATATCTTGCTTGTTTGTGCCTTCTTTTTGTGTCGTCACGTTAAACTTTCACTAATGCGAGCTACTGTTTTTGTCCTGCAAACTGAGGGGAAGGTGAGAGCTGTCTTCAGGGTTCTTGATAATGAGAATCGTCGCGAACCATTGTCGTTTTCCCAAATTTTTAAGCACGTTCAGGCTGGGATCTTTTTTGTTTATTAGTTGTATTATGATCCTAATTCCCGTGCAGTTTGTTGACTGGTTGTTAAATGTTCGGGGAAGATTGAACGGCTGATTCATTAACTGATTTTAACCAGCATTTTCGACAGCGACGTTCGGCTCATTTTAACCCTGTTGACGCAGATCTAGTGGTCTACAGTGGAAGTTTCGGGGACTCAGGAGCTCGACTGGTGTACACAAGTTTGCTAAGAGAGTCTAACCCTCTTCTTTACTTCACTGCTTGTCTTTATTTGTTTATTCCTTTCAAGAACACTTTTTTCAAAGTTCTTAACAACTTAATACAAAGACTTGTCGCAAAAACAATAATGTTACTCAGTAAGTTTCTAGAATTCGTGTCGAATGAGCCATATGTCCACATGCGATCTGACTTACCAAGTCTGTTGTAAGCAGTTAATTTGAAATCTGTACATGTCACTTAAAACCAGCCCTTGCATTTGTCACATTGCATACCACAATTGATAACAACACGACATATAACTTGCTCACATGTGTTTTTCATGACCGTGGTGAAATATGAGTTGTTAAATAAATCCTAGCAAACGATGGTTGACCTTTTGTTCATTAGGCTACGATCTTGGGCATGAGGATAATATTTCTATGGACTGTGGAGAGTAATTATCATGTGCAAAAGACTGAAACGCCAAATAATAGTGGCAGGAGTAGCCCAGTGTCTCCTCCATTAGTTACAAAACTTAAAGGAACGTCAAGCCTTTGTTACTATTTAGGTTGAGAGTTCAAAGCAATCAAGAGAACTTAGTATGTCTCATGTTTTGGCTGAGCACCATACTTCTCTTTGAATCTTTCAGCGAGAGTGATATCGTGCTTAAGGTTGTCGGACATAGAGTATGCATTTTTTGGTATAATATATTAACGAAGTGCCGAAAATCAGTTTGGGTAGTTAGTAGTGAAATGCTCTCTAGATAATTCCTATGCTTCATACATCACTAATATTGGTAACACTTATTAGATAACTCTTAACGGTGCATCAATGTAGAGAAGGCTATACAGAGCGAAAGGCCACAAGTACACAGAGAATACGAACAAAATGCGAATGAATAGGATTTAAGAATCACATATATGTAGGTAGGCGAATGAGTCATTGAGCAATTTAAGCCCGTTTGAGGAATATAGAGTAAGCTGTAACATGTGATCAAGCATACATGACCACAGAAGCATGGAGATAATGGCTCAAAGATATGAGCAAACTGTTGCCGACATAAATAGCACTGTCTACTAAATAAGTCATTTACGGTGTTTAAGACATTTCAGCGTGTACAAACTCAAGCATAGATGGGTATGCTAAAGTTCGGAGACCACGTTAGATGAAGTTCTGGAGGGAAACCACAGAACGGTATGGCTTGTTGTTTTCAGTGTGTCAGTGTTAGGTAGCTTCCAGAATATTATGTTGGTTGACTCGCGAGTGTCTTGTAAGTGTGGAAAATATCATACTTTATTCGTCCAGAACGTGAGAGGTAGTTCTCTATCATTATCATTCAGGATTTACTGATGTTAGGTATTTGGTAATTTATGATTGTCCTGTCTTGAGCGTCAAAGTATTTAAGGAGTTTTGGATTTTCTTACAAATTTCAAGATCATCTTGTAGTGATATACAAATTCTTAAAACGATCACTATTTCTAGGTCTCCAACGCTGATGTTGACATAATTAATTTTACTGTACACAATTCTAGCTGAAGATACTCGGTCAAACATCCCTGATAAATCACGTTTGGGTAGGCCAATCATCTTGCCTTGTAGGTCGACCCATCAGCTTAGATTCCATACACTTCGATCAGCCAATCTACATCCAAACAAATGTTCACACCCAATCATCCTTCACTTTTGATTTTTTTGACTTGGAGATCATCATGTAAAAAGATGATTGTGTTAGGAAATAGTGAGTATCTGTGACGTCATTAATTGTGAATCTCAAGGTGATCTGGTACGCTAAACGACACACTGAATGCCTGTTCCTTGTTGTCAGGTTTTAAAATCTTTCGTGTATTGTGATAAATATAATATGTTTATGCAAAGGCAGGTACACGCCATTTTACAGCAGTGGATCACCAGTGTTGTCGAAAAAAAGTAAAACATTTTAGTGGATAGTGGTGTACATCACCAACGTAGATGATCTACATCAAAATGATTGGAAGCTTACTCGAGCTGGATGTGAGTGGTGTAACAAACTAGCTAACGTCGAAGTCATACCTTGAGGTCAGAACTTAACGTGGATTACCACATTGACGTATCAAGGTACTACAGATGCTTTGAAGACTGTACAACACAAAAGACGTCATTACAGAAATAGATTAGTTAAAGTAGATACAAGCGAAGTTAGACCACTACCGCATGGGCCAGTTCATGGAGTACGATTAACTGACGCGCGTTGGTTGTCTTTGACCTTGACAAGGAGCGATGATTTGTTCGATAATCAATGACCCAACTGCAGAACGATTTAGCTGGGGCTCAGATGAATTTCACCGGCTCTACACAGTCATGAACTACAAATTACAACATTTATAGGTTCACAGTAAGCATCTCAAGCAGGCTTGTTAAATAAGTATAACCTACTAAAGTGATTATCAATTCATTCGTTCAGATATACTGAGTACGCTTCAAAATATTTTCCAGAGTGGAATTGCTCCCACGTCACACACCAGATGTGATCTCGGCACGCTTGTGTTAAGATTTTGGTCGTACAAAGTGTTTATGCAATGCAACTTTTTAAGTTCGTAGTGGTTATAAAGTAGACCTGTAGAGCGCTTGGTGTAAACAATGACCTTGGACGCATACGTCGAGTTTGTACCAAGTATCAGAAGTTCCATGTTTCCGTGTTCTTGGGTTTTTCCGCACATTTGCACGTTTTGTCCATAACTTTCCTTGTGTAAGATTCGTTTTAAATGTTTTGTGTGTGTGTGAAAATCCCTCCATGTATATACTTGCACTTTGTTCCTATTGATCCCTTTAGTTGTACATTGCTAGTTTTTGATTACATTTGAATTGTTAATATTTGTGTTTTTATCATAGTTTTTATTTTTCCTACGCCTTCACTAAGTTTTTGTGTTTCTTATTGAACTGCATCTAGGTTGTTTTACTTGATACTTGTTCTTGGCGGCAGCCATACTGATTTGCTCCTTCCTTCGTGAGTGTTCTATCCAGTCAGGATAGGATAGCGTTCATTTGTTGTGACTGGTAGTTTTTCCCACATCTTTTATCAACTTCTTTATTTATTGTAATTTAGATTTGACTGATTGAACAATTACTGGTTGAATAGCCGGGTGGTAATATTTTTTAGGTAATGATGTACATTTAAATTTATGATGAATTACAGAACCACTATTCACCCGATTACTTGTTTTGATTTTGAAGGGCAAAGGTTCGTGTCTGACCTGCCTGATCGGCTATTCTTCAGTCTAAACCGTAGAATGGATTCTACACCTTGACACACTCAAATTTTAAGGATTATGACTCCCTCGTCCACCAACACTACAAATTAG